AAGAAGATTTAAATAAGTTACAGTTACAACAAAATAGGGTTATGAGAATCATCCTGAACTGTGATAGATATACTCCTATAGTCCAGCTAAATTGGCTAAATGTCGGGCAGTTCATTAGAAGAGCAAGTTTAATGTTGGTTTATGGAATTGCGCACGATCACCAACCAGGCTATCTTAAATTATGGTTGGAAAAAAGGTCAAACTTTTATCAATATAATATACGTTCCAATGAGCACTTCAATGTTTCTATGGTAAAAACAACAAATTTACAGAAAACTCTATTCTACGATGGTGTTTGTAATTTTAATGAACTGCCGGATAATATTAAGGGCGCGCCTTGCTCAAGAGTGTTCAAGAAGAGACGTACAAGGTATTTGCGAAGTTTATAGTTTTGTTTATGCAAACTTTACTTGCTTATGTAAATAGCCAAGTGCTTAATAAATAAATAAATAAATAAATAAATCTTCGAAAATCTCTGACTGCTCCCAAACCCGTGTGGTAATATCCGGAAATGTCCGAAGTGTAATTACACGAAATAAAATCGGTGTATAATTAAGCATTTTAGAGAAGAGAGTAGGAAAAATATTTTGTTTTGACCAATAAATTTCGTTGACAAACAATTTTCATTATGGTACCTGTCGAAATAACACTTTATAACAACAAAGTGGATATTCTCACACTGTCACCTATTTAAAACTATTCTAAATAATGGAATCAATTTCAATGCTCGTTATGAAAGTAGACCGACGGCTGATTTTCCTTCCTATTCTGCAATTCGTCCGAACGAAAAACTTTAAAACGCATCAGTGGCAGAATTTCCCCATGCGTTCCATACAAACGAGGTCCTCCGAACTTTTCAGCTAGTTAAAAGTTTAAATTTGTAACTTGGTATATACGCAAAAATATCTAAACACCCAATTAAAAAGTTTGAATCAACCCACCCTAGCAATAATAAACGCGAAACTTTTAATTGCACTTTTCCTTGTTAATGTCATTTTTATATGTTACCATTTCATAAATTTTGATTCCAAAAAAATTAAGATCTTTTTGGGATTATATCTTTCGGTACTCCGAATTTAATAGCGACTCTATTTGAGGGCGCTCATATTATCCTAGAACATAAAAGGTCCGACTACATCAAACGCACTACTAAAGTCAAGAAGGAAAACTATGGAAGTTTTGAAAGACGAATCATTCTCGCTTGTTTCTACATGAATGGGAAGTACGATGATTAGGAGTATAAAACTGCGGGCCAAATCTGATACACACTCTCCCCACATTAAAAACTACCGAATGTACCCTTATCTAATAAAAAATAAAATCCAACTTTCGAAACTTTCAAATCTCTATGGAATTGATTGAGTCGAGTGTCAAAGTTCACGATTCAGGGATTTAATTTTACTCCATACACTTTACTTTCGGTTCCTGACAAGACCTTCAATTTGGAATTTGATAGCTCGACTTTTTTTGCCAAAGTTGTGTTTTATTCGCCGCCCTTCAACCAATAAGACAAACTCGAACTAAAAAGAAAAAAATCGCAAAGGAAATTAGTTTTATGAGTTGAGAAAGTGTACTCAGTGTACTGCGAGGTGTTACTAAAAATATGGAAAAATAAGTTTCAACGACATACGCTCTTAATTTTTCAAAGAAACTTCCACAGGCTACTGTAATGCTTTTTACGAAACTTCTGGATTCCTCCTGCGTCGGCTTTTCCTTAGTCGAAATTGCTGACGTTTCGCCAATCATCCTGTTGGCTTCTTCAGAGCTTGACAAACTGAGTTTTTCAAGCTCTGAAGAAGCCAACAGGATGATTGGCGAAACGTCAGCAATTTCGACTAAGCATTATTTTATTTATATATTTTTATTTTAGTTACGCTGGTTACTTTGAGAAATCCAATCTTCATTAGTGCTTTTACGATTTTAACCGATTAACAAGAAAACTTTTTTATCTCGGATGGTTCTGATTGTTAGTTGTTTTTTTTTTAATTAATATTAACAAACTATGTTAAAAAAGTGTTTGGGACCAAAAGAGGTGTCGAGAAATTTTTGCAAATTATTCTTAAGTTCTAGAGGGCATTCTAAAGCTCACAAGAACATTGAAATTTTTCAAAATTTTGCTAGGGAAATGGAAAAGAAGAAAAGAAAACTTGAAACTCGAATAAATATATTTTACCTTTCAGAAAAGTCAGAGGACACCGCTGATTGATATTTTCTTCGGTTTACCAACATAGCAAGCTGCCGCTCCCAATTCGTTTTTTCGTTTTTTCTTCGATTCAATGATAAAAGGTCAAAAACAAAAAGTTGTTTACAAAACTTGCCATTTTTTTATTAAGTAACTAAGATCTAATTTTTACTTTGCTTCAATTAGACGGAACAACTTAACGAAGCTCAGCCGCATCGACTAGCAGGAAAATGAAAAAAAAAATCCGAAAAAACCAGGGATAATGGAGTTCACCCTCCCGTTCAATAAATTTGCTAACAATACAGAGCTCTACTTGCGGTCTACATTAGCGAGAAAGAGGCACAAAAAAAAACTTAATAACGTCTGAAATTATTCCAGTTTTAAAAGTAAAACATCCCCGCTTTCCTTTATGTTGCGCGCGGGCGATTTAACTAGGTAGTGGTCTCAAAAGAAGAAAGTTAATTTCATTTTCTTCCGCTGCGAGACGGCTCGTGAAACAAGAAACTACACGCCGCAAAAACAACTCGGCAGATCTAATTAAAAAAAAAAAGAAGTCATGTCTCCTCGTTAGGCCTTAATTGGCTTTCTTTGAACCCACGCTTAATTGTAAGATAAGGATCGTGAAAGTGCCCGCTAAGACGGCAAATATTAGAAAGGAGCGGGTTTATATATAAATATTAGATATCGGGTTACACATCGAGTCCAGGTGCAGTTGGAATAATGTTCCATTCGGGGGGTAATTGGGGTTTGTCACGTCAAGTCGGGAACACGACCATCGAGTGTAATAAAAAAGAACCAAACAACGTTTCGGAATAACGACGGAATGCTTTATTCTATTGTGTCGAGGATTTTATTTTAACGAATGATACATGTGTTTTTTTGGAAATCCGATAAAAATCTACTTTTCGAAAACAATTCAATTCAATTATGCGTTTTACAGAAAACTGTTAGGCTCGACTACCAGGATCATTCGCCCTCGAGAACAATTAAATATGTCTTTTTAATTCTTCTTCTGAAATAAAATTTGAAATGGTAAATAGGAAAGCTTGCCGGTTCCAAACACAAATTCTACACAAATTTCTCTGTTGACCGACGCAGGAGGAACCCAGAAGATTTGTATATAGCTTTTGCTATAAAAAATTAATTCCTTAAACCCTGGTAGGCACACTGTACACACTATGTGTGAATTTTAATTTTGCTAGTTTCAACGCACAAAGCAAAAATTTCCTTTGAGCTGTCGGTAGCTTTATTAAACACAACTAGAATGAAATTTTTTTCATTTTATAATGCTCCACTTTCTATAAAACACCGTCATTCCAAATTCCAATATTTCCACAAACCAAAACCACAAACTTATTATAGGAGTTCCAAGGTACATAGGTCAACATTATGAAATACTTTTCGGAGTCCAAATTTTTTTATTGATGAAGATATCCAATAAAAATGTATACCACCTATTTAGATGAAAATTTTGTTTTGATTTTCTGACTTTCTGGAGACCGTGCTATTATTACAAAAAATTATGTTGTAACAACTTTAAAATTAATGCCATGTTTTCAGTTAAATTCAACAGATGATAATTCACTTAATATCAATGAGGAGATAGTTGATTAATATTCATTTGAAAAATTCATAGACATTCATTAGGAAATAAATTAGATTAAAATATTGACGGAGATCAGACCTAAGGTTTAAATAAACTAAGTCTATAATAATAATTATCATGAACTTCTAACGGTATTTTCCATAAAACTTTACCACATACACCATGAACCGAAAATTTTGATTCTTGACTACTTTAGTATACAATATCAACTTTTGGCACTTTATTTCTATTAGTGTAGTCAAGGTCTCTAACAAAATCCAGTCCGTTTAAATCCCTTATTATTTGCTTACTATGCCCTTTAATTTGTTTTCTATATCACGTTTACCCTCAATAATAATGTAACTAAATATTTTAAATATCTTAAATAACCATTTTCAGTTGTTACCTAAACATGATTTAGTGTAAAAACATCCTGACAAAGATAAAAAGATAAAGAAGCACGCTCTGTCAACAACTTAATACCCTCAATAATCACGTTACTATATATTTTAAATATTTTAAGGACGATAATTTTCAGTTGTTACCTACACATGATTTAATGTAAAAACATCCTGATAAAGTTAAAGAAGCACACTCTGTCAACAAATTAACAACGCCAGGCTGGTTTGGTATGGTCATTTTTAAGTTGATACATTCACGTGATTTAGCGTAAAGAATCCCTGAAATATTTAATGATAAACACGCACCAATTCAAGCCGTAGCGATCCGCAACCGCAAGAGGATGCTTGGTTGGTATGACTATGACAATTATGACTACATTAAATTAAATATTCCCTTCAACATGCTACAAATGGCAAAATTAAATCCACTCTTTTGTAACTCACATTAACCGTTACGTATATATTTTTTGAATTTTGTCGCTCGTTACGCAAATTGGAAATGAAAAAATGTATTTTAAAATTAAGCAATATCGAACAAAGCCGCGGCAATTTAGTGCCAGAGTCAACGACATTTGCGGCGAACAAACCGGAGGGATCATAAATAAGAACCCTTAGACGGAAACATGAATAAGGAAGATCAATATAGATGGAAGATTAATGCTGTGCTCTAACTGCTAATTAACCAATTAATTGATTTATCTCTTCGTAGAAGTGTCAACAAAATTTATCGCAAAGTGCCGTCTTTTAGCAATTAGCTATGGTTTGGATTCGGATTTGATCTAGATTATTTGGTCCGAGAAAATAGTAACATTGTGACACAAATAATGCTTACCTTTTTATGAGGCTTGGCGAACACGTAGTCGTACACAAAACACACTCCCAGAACCGTAATTCCAGTCTCCTTGCTCAACATGGCCGCCAACCCCAAGAGTATACTTAAGGTCAAACAAATCCAAATCTTCAGCACGTTCTTTACACAACAAAACTTCATTTCGTCGGATCTGTTGATGTTGACGCCTTTAACCATCTCCCTTTCCTTTCTATCTATCTTGGCGTTGCGTTTAGACCAGTTGCAACTCGTCACAGACTTTTGCAATGCCATCGCTATCTTTTCGTATCTTTTGGATTCGTATTTATTTACGTAGAGACTGTGTGAGCATCTCCTCGCGCAACATGTCACATCTCTAAACCTGACGTGCGCTATGTAGGCCAACAATGACATGAAAAATAAATTACATGCAGCTAAGTCAGCTCTGCCCACAACTCCAGCAACCGTTTCTGTGTGTATCGGGTGCGAAGCGAATAGCACACCTGTGACGGCCGATCCGAAATGGCTTTGACCTCTGGGAAGCACTATTTTCGCCACTTTTACGAGAAGATACGTAGCGGAACAGTGAAGACATACATTGACAAAGTGGTAACCCCAAGGTTGAAAACCGCCCAAGAGGTAATTTAGACGAAACGTTAAAACGCACAAAGGGCGATACGAGCCGTGTGAGCCGCTATCGCTGAGTGGTGTACCCCAGAAATCATTCTCCAAGATGCGCAACCAAGGTGTTTTCGGAAGCAGATCCGGGTTGGTCAGGATGGCCCTCCTGGAAAAACAAAGAGGCTTAAATTATCGAGGAATAGAGATATTTCAATGAACTTATTTCTATTTTTGCTAACTGCAGCTGTGAGTGGGATATGTGTTTTTCTTGGGCATTCAAAATAAGAATAGTTCCAGAGATATGCGGTAAACCCGAAATTTATGAAAACCGATACAACAACACTACAAATATTATTTTGGTGTTGGTGTTGGTGTCATTATAACAATGGCTATTATATCAATGTATAAAATTGAGGTTTACTTAAAAAAATATATTACAATAAAACCCTACGATTTTAGATAACATGGGGCCTAAAATTTTGCAAATGTTTAGAAACCTACTTGCAACAAACATTATGCAATAAAAACACAGTCAAACATTAAATGGCACCTTTACATTGGAACCTTACTAGATCCACTTGCCTATTGTAATCAGCCAATTAGTCATCTGAGACGCAAGAGTAAAAAAGGAACGCATTCTCTCAATGTGGAGTAGTAGACACTCAAGCGAATCCGAGCATCGGCAAACCTGTTGAGAAACAGATCAGAAGGATACTGTTATATTATGCGCCGTTATGTAAAGTCTGTTTATAGATATAAGAAAGTGACTAACTGATAGGGATTAAGGAAAGACCCGGGCAAGCTGTAAGAATGAAATATGGCCGAACAGATCCATGCTTTGCTTAGAATTTAATTATTTAGGGTTTTGTTAGGAAAGATACTAAACAATATTCATTTATTTATGTATGTATTTATGGTTAAATATAAAATAAAATTACAAAATATTTTTATTACCTACTTAAATTACTTAAAATTATTCACATAATATATCAGTATCACTATCGTTATCATCGCCTGTTCTAATTATTATTTGTTCTATATTATTTGCAATATGGATATACAATTGTTCTGCTTTTTCTATATGTTTAACAGAATTTGCCCAGCTTTGTGGATGGATGTTAAAAAAGTTTGAGGACATTGGAGTTAACACGGGGAAAGACATTGTTACGACGAATGGCAGATTTCAGTTGGTGCCAAACATGTTCAATGGGCCTTAAAACTGTATGCCCTAGATTTTTTGCATAATTATCACAGACATATTCCTTTTGTAGGTTCAAGCTTTGTAGAACCTCAATTAATTGCTTTTTGGTATAATCTTCGTGAAAATGAATGTCGTTATTATACATGTAGTTTTGGACTGTTGCTTTTGTGTCACATGAGGAAGGGGTTTTAGTCAACTGTTTACTGTGATAACTTGCATTGTCCATTACAATGACGCTATTAGGAGGAATGTTTGGAACTAGTTTGTTTTTAAACCAACTTTCAAATAAATCAGCGGTGGTGTCCAGAGAAGAATCTTTAATATTTTACGCAGACAGAGAAAGTCCATTTGGAATCCAACCATCTTTAGAGCCAGCATGCAAAATAGTTATTCTTTTACCTCTTTTTGATGGCGCGTTTTACACTTATCAGTTGAGTTAACCCAACCCTTTTCCGGGGTATCATAAGTGTCGAATCAGGTTTCATCCAAGTAAATAATTGGCCTTTGTTGTTCTCGGTAAATCCTAATTTTTTCTAGATATTCCAATCGCCATCTCCGAATTCTAAAAGAGTCCATTAAAACTTGCATTTTGTCAATTTTTTTAAATCTAAAACCCATGTGTTGAATACACTTCCACATTTAACATCGGTTTCATCTTTTTCAAGCCTCCTAATTAAGATATCTAATGTAGGCACGCTTTGTTCCTCGTATAACTGGTAAATTTTACGCCGTTTATATCTTGATCACTTTAATCTACACTCGAGAAAATGTCAGCATCGCTTCTTTTTTTCCTCGCTGAAATGGGATTTTTCCCAATTTTCCATCATACAGTTGATGTTGGAGTTTTCGTCAATGTGGCCGTTTCTTCTAAAGATGGTTGCTTGCTGGCACCACGTTCAATGAGAGTCAAATAAACATTGTTTATAACGTCCTTTGTTTCAATAGAATAGTGTTTTCTACATTTGGGCGGGAGCATCTCCTGAGATACACAAGACTCGCACATATTTTGCATAATTTGCACACGATTCACACACGAAATAAGAATGATTACTAATAAACTTAAACTATACCAAACCAAAGAATATTAAACACAGGTAAGTATAGAATTATTTTCTATTACGGACCACAATTTTACATGAATTTAAATTCCGAAACTTTAGGTAATAATCTTGTTGCATTGTATGTTAACGACCACCCTTGGATAATCCCATTCAAAAGCAATTGGTCGCTTTCTTATATCTATGAACAGACCATACCTACGCCGCATGGCTGCCTTGTTTGTGCGCCGCAAGGCAATTAATTTCTGTACAATTTCTCGCCTAAAAACAAGTCCAGTGTTCAGTTCTTAATATAGCGGAAATAAAGTAATAGTATAAAATAAAAAAAGAAAAATCACAAGTGAACATTCTTCGATATTACAACGATAAGGGCTTAACATGCCTTGTTGAGCCGATTAGGATTCTAAATTTCAGAAACAAAATTTACCCTAGTGTTTAAAAAAGGATATTACACGCATGAGATAAGCTGGGAGAATTAAAAATTGTATATTATGCAACAAGTGTGATAAACGATATTTGAATCACGAGTTAGTCACGAGACACGATAATGCTAATAGTTATCCTATCTTTAAACGAAGTAGTTCAATAAATGACACAATAAAATAATAGTTACTTAGACAAATTGAGTAAAGAGGCATTCGAATTATAAATTTAAAAAATAAAACCATTTTAAAAAATGTCTTTGGATATCTTGCGGAATATTCGTTTCAATTCTCAGACCGCAGAAAATATGTGACTTATTTCAGAAATTTCAATGGCCCTTCTACAACGCGCTACTTTCATCAAGGGACAGTTTTTAAAACTTGCGACTTATTATCCAAAGCGATTGTTGCACACATATCACCTAAATTCTATATATATACTCAAATAATATCTGTTCCTCATAGATAGTAAAACCGTAGGATTAACATTCAATTACGAATCTTGTTTATGGCATGATCTTACACATATTCGAGTAATAGCTAAGTCCCACAAATTTAAGTGGATAGGTTTCGAGGATTTGAAGATGTGCGTGTTTAATTTTAGTATTAAATTAATTTTTAGTAAACGAGTGCGTAGCGAATCACAATATATACATTAGAAGGATTTGCAAGCTTCTTTCCTCTAATATTTTTTTAAAATACTGCTTCCACCAAGCAATAAAAAAAATCATCTCAATCATCATCATCAAGCAATTTAAATAAAAAATAAGTTTAGGCAAAAGGCACCAATAAGTTAAAGTGCAAGCTTTATCCTCCAAAGTATTGAATTTATGCAATTAAGTAAAACTATTTAAACACAAAAACTGAAGAATGAGGGAACTGAGGGACTGAGGGACTAGCTCAGGCAACTCAAATTGGAGTCAGAAAGAAACACTTTTTAAAGATTTCATTAAACCCACTAAGTGCACAATGTCGTACTCACTGAAATTTATCATTTTCTTCCGGAAACAGGTAAAACGCTGTGGTAAGTCAGGCGTGACACATTATTTAATTTGTCTTATTAGTGTTCTTCACTGACTATTTTAACGATAAAGGTGGACTAGCTAAATCGACAAAAAAGTGGAAATAAGTTATTGCCGGCAATTGCTAATTTTTTTTTTAATTTTTGGAAATATTCATGAGTAAGAAAAAAATCCGGAATTTAATTTAGCTTCGAGTGGTTGTTATGGTAACTAGTAAGTAAAATATTAAAAAAAGTAGTGAAAGCATTCTTCGGGAGGCTAACCAGTCAATTGTCGTGTTCATACCGTACCAAAAAATCCAAGCCAACCATTTGGAAGCAGCTTATAAACTTTTGCTCAGAAAGATCATTCAAGATTACTATTGAGGAATTCGCACTTATTCTAATTGCTTTAATATGCACAAACAAAACTCAGAAGAATACAAGGATGTGATTATAGTATATTATGCAATAAGTGCGGTAAACGGCATTTGATTCACGAGTTTATTTGGCACGAGCGGAGCGAGTGTTCAATAAACGAGTAACTTAAAAAGGTTACCGCACGTGTTGCATACTATACTTTTTCTACGACAGTTAGTTTTTCAGTACATTTTCGCAAAACAAGACGAATACATTACAATACAATTCAAGGGGTGGGAAATATCTCGAAAACATCCGACTGCTCCCAAACCCGTGCGGTAAAATCCCGGAAATGTCCGAAATTGTCAGATCCGTGGCAAACGAAACTGAAGTGCTAAAGTGGCGCTTCCCGCTTTTTACAGACGGTAGTAAAAAAAATATTAATATGGATTCAAAGGGTATATTCTAACGTATAAAAAGGTGTCTGGGTAGTGACAGCAAGATTGCCTACGAGTGTTATGAAGGAATGCGAAAAAGTAAATTATTGTCTTTTTAAAGTTTTTGCTGTTAACGATTTATTCTGTTTTAGGTCAGTGAGTCACAGGAGCCTAAACATCAATACTGCAGTAAGATGCAAAGTGCAATAAGAGCAAAAGTTAAATATTTAAATTTTATATTCTTATTTCACAGGCTCCAATAGAGAACACAGCTGAAGTAGGTTACTAATTCGCCTCTGGAAAATGTTAATAACTTGTCCAAAATAAAAAAAGAAAAATAAGTAGCGGCACCATACAAAACCTTATGAATTCTCAGGCAACGCAGGAATTAACCGATGTCGCAAAAAAGTTTTGATTTGCAACAATCTTATTATGTGGCAAAATCGAATCTCCTTGAATGACAAACAGTAGTCATGAAAGGCCTAGTATCGTTTTTAAATAACGAAAAAAAAACAATAGCTTAATTTGAACAGTCAATAAAAGTTTGGTCTTATTCAACATCTCTTTTACATATATAATATACGTGTTGAACTCTATGAATATTAATTATTTTCCTTTGCAACTGTCGCCCGCCTCGAGCTCTTCATTTGGGTTTTCGTTAAGAAGTGCAATGTTAGCACTGATACAC